TGATAACATTTTTTTTTTATTCTAATAATCCGGTTTTTATTGTCTGTGTGCTTTTCAGGTTTCAGCATCACGAGTGATACTAACTAGGCCTAGTGTGTATATAGAAAGGGGTATGGTGGTCACATCCAACTTCGGTACCGCATTCCTACTAATTCCAGGTGTGTTTTGTTCGTGTGTGTAACCTGCGGCTACTCTTGTCGGTTTATTAAAATCCCCCGTTCCTGTCGTGTGAGGGTGATTCAACGCTAGTTGCTTTCTTGAGACCTGTTGCTTGGTTTGTGCTAGCGAAAGAAGTACCGATTCGAAGCCTGATAGTGCGATTTTTCAACTCTTATTAGTTTGCCTAAAATATTATTAAGTCATTTAGCTAGAGCTTTTGCATTGTTAAAACGGAAATTTAAACCTGAAATTCTGGGAAGCTATTAATGATGATTGAAGTTGCACAAAACGGGAGGGAAAAATTTAGACCAGGACTTTTGTCTCGTCTCGTTGCATCAAATCCCAATGGACCTGGTCGGCCGTGTCACCCCTGTAACTCTGTAAGATACCAGCAGAGTAATACAACTTATGCGTTAACTAACGAAGCCCAGCTTTCGGTAAGTCGACAAGAACTTTACAACTGATGCTTATAAGTTATATGACTTCAGATAGATGAATATTTGATCATGGAAATTGTAACAGTAACTTTTTTAGGTCCTGTAAGGTTAATATGAATAATTATATTCCATAAAATTAGAAATGTAATTTAACAGAACATTATACGAATTAGAAAACTTACTTGTTTTCAGGTATGTTCATAGTGCATTGTTTATACTTATCACATATTCTGTTGATGAAAATTAATAAACTCAACCTTCTTAATTTTTTGCAATTTTCTCTCTACACCCAGAAACATTGTACACATATTATATATTAAAAAAATTTTAAACTTCAGGTTAAGAAACTGATTGATACTTAGTTTAAAGGTGTAGGGCTTCATACCAGATGAAAACTTGTATTTATTGTGACATTTTTGATATTCTATAATATTAATCATTAAATCCTTGTTGTGTCTTTCTAAAAACCGATTCTCGTTGAGAATGTTTTTTTATGGGGGGGGGACAAAATTTTGAAATTAACTGAAACCAGGAACTGGATATTCATTATGATAAATTTCAGATTTTTTTTTCAACATGTTCAGATGGTAACTCTTTCAACATTAGCAGTGACAGATCATGAAGTATACCCAGTAATTCTTTTTAATGTACACTCTTGTTTCAATTATTTTATCCGAATCTTCATTTTTTTCTCTCTCTCTCACTCTACAAATGCTGATTCCCCCCCCCTTTTTTTTCTTTCTAAATACTTCATTTATGATAATTTATCTTTCAGAATATCCTTCAAACACTATTGTAATTTTAAGTTTTTCTGAATTAAGATTTATGTGTTGAAGTGTGACCAATGGGAGAATTAGGAGATGCATATAGGACAAGCTAGAATATGGTTGAATAACTTTTAAACAGATCATCCAGCATGCTTAAATTGCTTTTGAAAGTGAAATTTGGGAGCTGAGTGTTGCATATGTCTTGTTAATGAATATCCCTCAGATACTTTACCAATCATGCTGAGATGTGGTGTGGGAAAGAACAGAATTGTCTATAGCTGGTGATTGTGAAATAAGGAAAACTTTATCTCATGATTCATGTGTGTGCACATTATTTTAAATTATGTGTTTGTATTTAATAATGACATTGCAGATACTGAACTTAAAAACATATTGGTTCATGAGTGAAATTATAATGGTTTTAATTACTTAAGTGGTTTGACAGTTACTGTAGCTAACCTTCTAGAGGAAATATTTTATGTAGTGTTGATATTTCATAGAAAACAGGCTGACAACACTGTTTTTAACTTTGAGGTAAGGTTGGGATTACCTGAGATGTTCCCCTTGTAGTTTCATGTAATGAATAGTAAGTACATAAGTGTTGGGCAGTGGAGAATAGGGCTTGTTGAATAAAGTTATCAACCTGTTCATTCATTCCAATAAGCATTTGTCCATGGCTGCTTTAAATGGAGGGAAAGTTTTTTTTTTATGTGAAAAAAAAACAGCTATTTCTGTCGTGAATATGTAATAAAAACTTGAGATTTTCGTATGTGTTTTATTGGTGAAAGAATGTGATTTCTTTTGGAATGCAAAACAGGCTTCATCCATCACCAATTTTTTGTCCAATGCTAAGAGTCAAGATAATACATATGTAGCTCAGTTCATTGTCAGATTTCTCAGTTTGAATCTTATATTTGTCTTGCAATTAGAATTGTACAGAAAATGACCATTATTCCATAATAATGATATTAAACAGTGACTGTCTTTATCATTTTCATGTATTCCTCAGGACTTGTAACTGTATTATTTTACCATTTTGGTGTACTCCTGACAGTACTTGAAACCATATTACTTTAACTTTCTTATGTATTTCTGACAGGACTTGTAACTGTATTACTTTACCATTCTTATGTATTCCTGACAGAACTTGTAACTGTATTACTTTACCATTCTTATGTATTCCTGACAGAACTTGTAACTGTATTACTTTACTTATGTATTCCTGACAGGACTTGTAACTGTATTACTTTACATTCTTATGTATTCCTGACAGGACTTGTAACTGTATTACTTTACCATTCTTATGTATTCCTGACAGAACTTGTAACTGTATTACTTTACTTATGTATTCCTGACAGGACTTGTAACGGTATTACTCTACCATTCTTAGGTATTCTCGACGGGACTTGAAACCGTATTACTTTAACATTCTTATGTATTTCTGACAGGACTTGTAACTGTATTACTTTAACATTCTTATGTATTTCTGACAGGACTTGTAACTGTA